GGTCCTTCCCCGGTCGAGCCGACCCATTCGTGCTACAACTATACCAGAAATATAGCTGCAGCATGGCTCTACCACGTAAATAAGTGAAGTGAAGTGACAAACGAACAAATACCCTAGATGGTGAGAGACTACTTCAGCTTATGGACATTTGCAAACAACTTCAAACAAAAAAGTCTATAGATGCGTAATTGTCACGTTTGAGGACTATAATGGAATGCCTTACAGCTTGTAATCACACCGGCTCTCTTTACCATTCACATCAGAACACAACAGTGAAGCCATTACAATTTGGAGGCAAAAATTTGTAACAGGGTGAATTCTACCCAGACGGCCTCCTAGCCTGTGAGGAATATGACACTGTTCCACAGTGAGGAGTAGTTGCATTTATAGAGACAAGCCAAGCGTAGGGACGCTTGGCAGATAGATTGGGGAACGCAGTATAAGACGTATCACATTTGACGCTGCTTCCTACCGTTGGTTAGAATATTTATCATTTTTTTTATAGGATAAGGGTGACAAAGGAGCACACAGTCCACCTGATGGTAAGTGGTTGCTATGACCCATAGACATCTACATCTATCCTCAATAAAGAATCAAAATGCAAATGCGTTATCACCGTGAGGGTAAGATGGAATGCCACTTTTCCAGTAAAAAGGGTCTCCAGTTCCCTACACTCATCATAGGAAACACAGCAGTGTTAAGCTGCTATTTTACGCTGGTATTCAGTAAGAGCGTGGTTCTTCCCCGGTCGAGTCGACCCATTCGTATTACAACTACACTACTAATATAGCTGCAGCATGGCTCTAACACGCATAAATATAGCTGCAGCATGGCTCTACCACATATACCACGTAAATTTGACACTTATGAGATAGTTCTACTGCTATCTTATCGAGGATCTTTATGGATTTTTTTATAGTATAAGGCTGATAAACGAGCACACAGTCCACCTGATTGTAAGTAGATACTGCAGCCCATAGATATCTACATTTATCCACAATTAAGAATCAAAACGCAGATGCGTTGTCACCCCTGAGGACTAAGATGGAATACCTTCTTTCCATTAAAAAGGGTCTCCGGTTTGCTACACTCACCGTATGAAACACAGCAGAATTAAGCTGCTATATTACGCTGGTGTTCTGTGAGAGCGTGGTCCTTGCCCGGTCGAGCAGATCATTCGTGCTACAACTATACTCTTAATACAGCTGCAGCATGAATTCTCTGTATTGGTCTCTTACGACATTCACCCGGCGAAATGGTGTGATAGCAGCGACATGGTTGGAGAACTAGCATACATTACCGCATATTATTGTGCTCTGTGTGACAAGTGATGAGACCAAAGACTCTATTTTTGTTCCCAGCGAGGATACGGTGGCAGCATACAATCAGGTGGTCTACGATTTTGTTTATTACTCTTTTACATCAATAGTTTGTTGTTGAGACGAGAAAGCTGTTGCTAGTCTGTTGTCTACAACTGTTTTCAATTGACATAAATAGTACAGTACTTGTAAATTACACGCCTATCATAGTTAAATACGAGCATATTTATGTCCCACCGCTGAACACACAACAAGTATTTTCACATTATTAAGAAAATTTTGAACTTGAAGGAAGATGAAGGCGGTCCTCGGAATACTTTTATGTACACTAAAGGATTAACCAGTACGTTAGCAGTTAGCACGGTGTATAGTACAGTAATTCTGATTTTACCGTGTAGTGGCGGTGTAAGAATATCCACTACCTCATCCTCACACCATTCCGTGGGTGTCGTAAGAGGCGACAGAGGGAAATTAATATTACTAAACATTTTAAAAAAATCCGGTTTCCTAACCGCTTGCCAAGTGTAGTAATTATGGCAAATATCCGCCTTTTAAGGCAATCTATGGGGGAGGACTTTGTTCAACAGTGGACTTTAATAGGCTGTAACGGTAACGGTACCATTTTATAATAACTACGTAAAATGTTAAGTATCAACTCCAGTGGAGCCTGCAAGGATCCTACTCCAGTTCATATAAAACGTAAGGCAAGCGCTCTGGCTCATAGCTGACATGGCTCTGTAAACTAATAATCTTAATGTGTCATCACGAATATGTTCTCGTAATTGTGTCATTTTAACAAATTGTGTAAAAGCGTGTCATTTATTATTATTATCTATCTTATATTCGACGTAAAGAATGACATACTAGAAAACCTCTTACTGAAATTCAGCTGACGTTATCAGATTTATACATTCTAAGCGAAGCAACAATGACAAACTGGACGAAAGATTGTGTCAAATTCTTGGCCTTTTGCCAAACTGTTCAGCGGCAGTTGAGAAAAATTTCTTTCAGCTATTGAGCACAATACGAATAGCGCATCTCACAGATTTCATACTTCCTTTTAATAAGATTTACTAACGCTCCTCACGTCTCGTATAATTAATATGTTTTGGGTCAGGTTTGACTTTTATTTGCTTGGTTTAAGGTTGATAATAAATCAGTTTGTCTTCTTATGTAAATAAATCTCTTTAATGAAGGGACCCATTTATTTAAGTAATTCGCTTCTACGGTTGACAAAAACCTTTCATAACAACTTCCCTGTCCGCGAAAAAGACAATATTTAAACAGTCGAAACGTTCATATATGATAAATGGGACTGTGAAATGGTAAAATTGTCTTGCACAAACTTGATTAAACTACTTTGTCACCGTCTGCTGTAGAAGGTGAAAAGGTGGGGGTGTATGTTTTAGTACAATTGAGAGTTTAAGCTGCCAAGGTGTATACAATTTATTTTAAAAGATATTCAATAATACAAGTACTATGTACATTCAACCTTTTCACGTGTTAGGGAACGGTGAACGTTATTTTATTTTATTAGATGAGAATGCGCCTAATGGTATGCATTATTTAAAAAAAGCCTGTCGAGCGTGAGTATCTGCGAATTTTTGCATTGATGTGTGTGGAGCTAATAATTTTGCACCGGCAACTCTTTAATAAGAGGAAGTGGTGGCAGACATTTTGTACACTTTGTACCAGGAGTGAGAGTGCAAAATCGTTTTAATCCCATTATATAAGGAAAAAGGGTCACAGCAGGACTAAAAACTACCGTGGAGCCTACTAACTAGCAAAGTGGAAAAACTGTATGCAAACGTGTTGATTGAAAGAGTTATGAAAGTAACCGACGGGAAAGAGGATGAGGTGTACAGATCAGCTCTTTTCTATGTCCATGATTACAGAGAAGGTTTTGGCTAAAAACCAGAAAGTTTTCTGAGCATTTATGGAATTAGAAAAGGCTTATGGCAAAGTAGACAGTGTTGCTTTATGTTTAACATTGGACTCAGGGTTGAACGCTGGGCTGTTACAGGCAATAGTCTCTATAGAGACTAGAGGCAGGTTTGTGTAACTTCTCCATGGCTACATGGTACAAAACAATATATAATTGTATATAACATTAAAACAAATAATAAGACAACACATGTGAGCACAAGTTATAGAGTATTCCCGTATTATTGTTTTAAAGACAATCATACGGGAATCAAGACAATCAAGTTTTAAAGTAATCGGGCAAGGAGAAATAGAGAAGTGATCTTGAGCGTAAAATGTACCTAAATATTTAAACAAACAAAATTAGTGAAATGCTTTGGAATACTAACTTAAATAATTAGACGAGGAACGCGAATAGTTCTGTCGAATAAACAAGAATCCTTCTATTTTAATATATTTTAAATATGAAACAGAACAAGGAAAATGACGTCTCTGTTTGACAAATGGTTCAAAATAAAAAAAATGAACATTAATGAGCCTAGATGGGATAGACATAAGTGGATTTAATTTATCAATGACGTTTTAAATAAATGTCGTCAATATTGGATTGTACATAATTTGTAGGTCGTGGGCATGCTGATAGAGTAAACAATCAATATTAGATGTGATACACTTAATGACAATTGAGGAATTGTTGTTTCTAGTGTAGGTATTTAGTTTTAGTCTAAACTAGCGATCCGCCCCGGCTTCGCACGGTTGATTTCTGGATATCGGCAATAACGCCACCTACCGGGTCCAATGTGAATCTAAACCATTCTCCAATCAACTTAATCACACACAAAATTTCGTCAAAATCGGTCCAGCCGCTTAGGAGTTAAAGTCACATACACACGGACAGAAGAATTATATAATATACTATATAATATATATGTATTCTACATATAAGCCATCTTCTTGAACTATTCTGTCTATTGATGAAAACTGCCATCAAAATACGTTACGTAATTCAAAAGATCGACGGCGAGAAGAGACTTTGTTTTATTCTATACTAGCTGTTCCCCGCGACTTCGCTCGTGTGTTAGGGTTTTTATGTTTTTGCGCGGTACCCTAATTATTTTTCTAAAATAAAAGTAGCCTAAGTTACTCTTTGTGACGTCAGCTATCTGCCAGTGAAAGTCCCGTCAAAATCGGTCCAGCCGTTTCGGAGATTAGCCGGAACAAACAGACAGACAGACAGACAAAAATTTTAAACATTGTGTTTTTGTTATAAGTACCGTATATACTTTCATATGCAATTAGTGAAAAGCTGTAATTTTGACATTACAAACAGACACTTCAATTTTATTTATTTGTATAGATAGAGATGGGAAATCAATGTAATTCTGATTGATCAAGAGCTTAGAGAAAACCCTTTATCAACAAAACATTAATCACATTGTATGCTAAGTTGTGATTGTATCTCAACATCGGTGCCAAGTTGTAAATAGCGGGTTCTTTGGTTTATTAACAATGGACATGCAATTTATGTAATAAACGGTTTTTAGGCGAAAGAAAGATGTAAATGTGATCAAAAGTGACTACAAATTTCGGTATATGACTGCACCATCAATGTATGACTGCGGAATTAATAGACTAAATTTAAGAATGTATTGATACTCATATAAGTACAATAACGTCTTTGTTAGTTCAAATGAACGTTGTATTTTAGAGAGAAATGAAAGTATTTTTTCGTTGCTTCTCATAAATTAATTTACTTACCGTATCATCGTAGTGTTGTGTATGTAAAGCGGTGGTGCTGCCCTCTTTGGAGTTGCATGGAGAAGAATGTCTCCTCGACCGACGACCCTCTTCTTCGTATTCCTAAGTAAATTATTTGAAAATTACTAAAGAATATTACTCAAGTATTTCACAAAATAACAGACAAATACACTAAAATGTAAAGAGCTTTTGGTTTCCATTTAACACTAGCTGTGCCCTTGACTTCGTTCGCATAGAATACGTTTTAGTAATTTATTATTACTACTTTCGTATTAGATTATATAGATTACCTGTCAGTGATAGTTTCGCAAAAATCGGTTCGGCCGTTTCAGATATTATCCGGAACAAACAGACCGACAGATAAAAATTTTATAAATTATTTTTTGTTATAAGTGTCGTATCAAAATAGAAGTGCTATTTAATTTATTTGAATAGAATTTTAATAATAATAATATTATATACAATTAATTATAGAATACAAAAAAAATTTTCTTAGCAACACCTCTTGGCTTTACATTGCATGTTAAAAATATCAAGGCATTGTAATAGAGCATACCACAACAACAATTCATGCAAGTGACATTCAATAGGCAGGAAAATTAAAATAGGAAGCAAATAAGAATAGCAACGACGTGATCTGTTTACTAAGCATTTTTCCTAGCCCTTGGAAGTAGCACCAGTCGTGCATAAACAAGAAGTACTAGCTGTCATTATAGTCGTATATAAGGGTGGTGTTGTGAGATATGAAGCAGGCAGCGATCGCGAGGAGACTGCACGGCGACAGTTATTTGTCTCGACTGTCTAATTGATTTATCGTGCTGTTTTTGCATTTATCACATATAAAAGTAGCGTCGGCGGTACTATGTATGCAGATTCAAAGCTATCGTATATATATAAGATATAAAGAATTAACATCTCGCTGACTGAATTTAAAGTAGAAGATTAATTTTCTCTTATTTGTATCTCACTATACGTGTCTGGTTGTGGTTTCCAGATAACCAGGAAGCACCTAGACTAAAGCATCTCACTGGTTCACTACTGCAAGTATATAAAAAATACGACGCAACAATTAAAATATCTTATATTATTTCCTTACAAAATTGAATAGTCGAGAGAAAATTCAACTGTAAATTTAAGTGTAAGCAGCAATGAACTAAAACGGTTTAAATTTTCATTCTAGTAGATAAGATGAAAAAAAATTTATGATTTTCTTGCTGTATGGTTTTTAAACTTCAACAAGACAAAGGTATGACTCATTAAGCCAGTGTAAAATGACACCTGCTGTATCATTAGCACTTGCGTGTTATACAGGATGCTAGAAACACTGTTGGATAAATAGGACTGGCTGAGAGGTGGGGCCGTGTAGTAAAAATAATTTCTAGAAACTCTTGTTCGTGTTACTGTTGAGCTTGGTAAAATCTGCTTGTTATTATTTTTATAAGAATATAGTCACGCGACGCGTTAAATAACTATTTATACTTATTACGTTCAACTAAAACTAAATTGTATTAAGCAGGAAGTTTACAAAATTAATATCAACTATAAATTGAAGATTTTAAGGTATAAAATTAAAAGACGGCGTAAGGGCCGATTTTTAATCGCCAGATAAAAAATATCAAACAAATTTAGACCTGAACGAATAAAAAAGTAAAATAGTTGAACTGTTTTATTCATAGAACTGTAAAATTTTATTTGTTTGTGTTTTATTTTATTTCTTGAATAAGTTTTATCTGACATCTGACATATCAGTCATAAGGCTTAGCACGCACTGCGATTAAACGCGCGCGGTTTACTTATAGCTGAAAACGCAAAACCGCATACAACCACGCACTGCGGCTGGAGTTTTGTTTAATTTTATTTCAGAAGCACCATGGATTCCTGCAGTGTAGCGTTTGTTGTGGCTTTGGTTTTTAAATTAAGAAAGAGAAAACGTAAACAACGTCGCCGCCATTAATACTGGGTACATCCACTTGTGACAAGTTATTTCTGTCTCTGTATTGATTCAACAGCTAGTCATATAATGCCGGCATTTTTCCCACTTCAATAATAATGTTTTTAGACATATTATCGTAGTCTTAGGACACGTTTTTCAAGTGGTAGAGCCATGCTGAAGCTATATTATTGGTATAGTTGCAGCACGAATGGGTCGGCTCGACCGGGGAAGGACCACGCTCTCACAGAATACCAGCGTAAAATAGCAGCTTAACACTGCTGTGTTTCGTATGGTGAGTGTAGAGAACCGGAGAACCTTTTACTTGAAAAGAGGCATTCCATCTTAGTCCTCACGGGTGACAATGCATCTGCATTTTGATTCGTAATCGAGGATAGATGTAGATGTCTATGGGCCATAGCAACCACTTACCATCAGGTGGACTGTGTGCTCGTTTGTCACCCATATCTTATAAAAAAAAACATTGTTTCTGAGTCGGATGATATGAAATAACCTCTTTAGATTAGCATAGCAAATATCGACTGTCCTCTGCGCTCGCTTAGTTGATACTGAATCACTGAATAAAAAACCGAACGCGGGTAACCGCTGTGCGTGCGCCGCCATACTATTACTATGGGACACATAAAAATCGCGCACTTACAAACCGCGATCCAAATGTAGCAAGATACGTTTTTAAAATCAGTCACTGAAAAAAGTCGCTAATGCGTGCGCTTATATAAAACGCTATGTGTTACATTTTTTTAGCGTGCTAAGCCTAAGTCACTTTAGTTGTTTAAGTGCCGTTACCGTTACAGCATATTAAGTCCACTGCTGAACATAGGCCTCCCCATAGATTGCCTCATAGGGGTATATTTGCCATTGTCGCCACGCTTGGCAAGTGGGTTGGCAACCGCCGTATTTTATTTTGAGTCGTTATTAGAACGACGCTGCTGTCCACCTCCTGTTTTTTTCCTTCTGTTGTCACTTACGACACCCACGGGTTATTTAGGGTAATGGATATTCTTATACCGCCATTAAACGGTATCCGCCACTACACGGCGGTTTTAAGAAGTAGTAACAATAATTAAAGAAAAGAATCAATATTATTTTACTAAATCACTTCATCAAATACAGTTAATATTTTCATTCATAAGTAAATTGACCTGCAGTTCCATTAGTGAAAAATTTGGATTTTTTAAACAAGTTTTTAGATCATCAAGTACAAGAAATAATATATACCTACATTGACACCCTTTTTACTGGAACACAGGCATTCCATCTTAGTCCTCACGGCTGACAACGCATTTTAAATCGCAAACGAAGATAGATGTAGATGTCTATGGGCCACAGCAACCACTTACCATCAGGTGGACTGTGTGCTCGTTTGTCACCTTAATTCTATAAAAAATAATATTATATTTTCGGTTAAGTTTCAAAATGAAGATGCGTTGTCACTTCTGAGGCCTTAGATGGTATGCATCTTTACCTGCTTTATGCAGCTACGAGTAATTTACGTTATGAGAGCGTAGAAGTACATCCACGTTAGATCAATTCGTGCTGTAGCCATAATACAGCTAGAGCGTGGCTTTATCATGGTTTTTTTATAGGATAGGGTGACAAACGAGCACACAGTCCACCTGATGGTAAGTGGTTGCTGCGGCCCATAGACATCTACATCTATCCTCGCTTGCGAATCAAAATGCAGATGCTTTGTCACCCGTGAGGACTAAGATGGAATGCTTCTTTTCCAGTCAAAAGGGTCTCCGGTTCTCTACACTCACCATACGAAACACAGCAGTGTTAAGTTGCTATTTTACGCTGGTGTTCTGTGAGAGCGTGGTGCTTCCCCAGTCGAGCCGACCCATTCGTGCTACAACTATACTACTAATATAGCTGCAGCATGGCTCTACCACGTATATGGTGAAGTGGTCATAAACTATTAAGTGTTATAAAAGCAATGAGAAAGTGCGCAATAGAATAATATCAACTGACGTAGCCCAACGACCAATGGATCAGTAAGCTGGAAAGCGTATTATGGTGTTTTAACAAACCGACAGCATTTAATGAAGCAGGGTTATTTTGACAATTTCAATTGTCTTTAAAGTTAATTATTCATTGGACTTTGGACTTAATAAATATGCATATGCTTTTTGTAATATTATTGCTTGTCAGTCAGAATTATTTTTAACTGATTAATGGCTAATTCCCTACTTTCTTAGAAAATTATTTTCGTTATGATTACAAAATTTCTAATTAGAAAAGCTTACAGACATTGAATATGCTCGACATTTAGATTATAAGCGATACAAAATTATTCAATAGCTCGTAAACAGTTCTTTTTCAGGCAATAGATATATTTTTTTATGTTATAGCTCCCCATATTTAATATAAAAAACCTTATGCAACAACTGCTGAGTGATAATTAAAAAAAAATTATATTTGTTGTTTTAGAAATCTATAATTACGTGAACCATTTGTATGTTGAAACTTTTAAATTTAAGAGTACAATATTTTATGTTTTGAACCAAACACAAAGAGTTAAACAAAAATTAAAGAAACATTTCTGTAGATGAATAACTATTCGGAATACTGTCCACAATTAAAAGAAAATTAACACGACAGAACAGAAATTGTGTCAAGAATCTTTGAGAACGCTTCATAAGTTACACTAAAAGTGTTTTGTATGTTTTTTGGACAACGATAAAGCAAATAGAAATTCAATACTTTATCATACTGTAGATGTAAAGCTTTTATAATTTAAAGCCGTAAATTTGCAGATACAAATATAAATATTATTTTATGAATAATAAGTAAAACGATTTTTTTTGTACTCGGATTATATACAAAATGATACAACCTAATATTATTTTCTTAAAAATGAACGTATCTATTTATAATAATGAATAGACTATACGTTTTAAAATAGAAATATCAGAGATTTCATGATGATGCAGCGATTGGATGGTTGGATGAATTTAGCTTTTCTCCAATCCACTGCTGTTTGTTTATGTGTCCGCTGGAGTTTCTAACATAAATATTTATAAATTCTCATCCTCACCATGCTGTGCAGGTGAGTGATCAGATACCTTAGCAATTACATGGTGTGAGGTATTTCATCCTAATCCTCAGATGTGACAACGCGTCTGTAGGCTTGCTCGTTTGAAGTTGGTTG